CCAGAAAGCAGCGGGATAAATAAAACAGGGATGGGGACGGGGTGGGGGGGATGTTTTGTGCATCCTGCAGGACAAGCCCTGGCAAGCCGGGACGGGTCTGGACACGGCACCGAAATTCCCATCACCAGGACACTGCAAGATACTGCGGCATCTCCAACGCTCCGTGCGTTGGGAATGTAAAGGGTATTTATAAAACTTGCAGCGCCTTCGTTTTGGGGTTAAACCGGCGGGGTTTGGGTTAACCCACCCGTTCGCTGATGGCGTTGTACTTGATGGCCAACTCATCGCGCTCGGCCCGGCTCTGAGCCAGCAAGTCCTCGACGCGCGACAGCTCCTGCTGCAAGATGCGGTTCTCCTCCTGGAGGGACAGCAACGAGGACATGGCCCCCGCCACGGCCGCTGCGGGACGGGGACGGGGCTCAGGCCGGCTTCGGAAAGCAGCGGGACGGGAAACGGGCTCCGGGACGGGGATCCGGCCCCACGATGGAGCCAAGATGCCCTTTGCAGCCAAAAGCTGCTTTGTTCCTTCGGTGAGGAAGGGGGTTGGGCTGAGGCTGCCCCACGCGCTCGGCCGAGGCCACAAAAAGCATTTTCTTCCCCCCTCCTCGAGCTGCAAACGCTGCGTCCCGCGCGATTCGGAGACACCGAGCGACTGCGGTTTGCAACGGCAAAACTGCTGCGGGTTTGCGTTTGCCATCCCAAGTTTGCACGGGGAATGGCAAAACCGCTGCGGATCTGACGGTGCAATTGCAAGACTGCTGGAAATTTACAGTTGCAATCACTTAAGCACTGCAGATTTGCAGTTGCAATCGCAAGATTGCTGGAAATTTATAGTTGCAATCACTTAAGCACTGCAAATTTGCAGTTGCAATTGCACGACTGCTGGAAATTTACAGTTGCAATCACTTAAGCACTGCAAATTTGCAGTTGCAATCGCAAGACTGCTGCAGGTTTGCAGCTGAAATCCCAAGACCACTGAAAGTTTGCAGCTGTGGTCGCAAAACCACTGCAAATTTGCAGCTGCCATTGCAAGACCGCCGCAGATTTATAGTTGTTGCAATCACAAAACTGCCAAGGATTTATAAATGCAATCGCAAAGCCACTGCAAATTTGCAGTTATGATCATAAAACCGCTGGAAATTTGCAGTTATAATCACAAAACCACTGCAAATTTGCAGTTATGATCATAAACCCGCTGCAAATTTGCAGCTTCGACAGCAAGACCGCTACAGATTTGCATTTGTGATCACAAGAGCGCTGCAGATTTGCAGCTGCAATCACAAAAACGCTGCAAATCTGTGCTCGCAATCCCAAAACTGCTGCAGATTTGCAGCTGCAATCACACAAAACTGCAGATTTGGAGTTGCAATCACACAAAACCGCTGCAGATTCGCAGTTGCAATCACACGAAACTGCTGATTTGTAGTTGCAATCCCAAAACCACTGCAGATTTGCAGTTGCAATCTCAAAACTGCTGCAGATGTGCAGCTGCAATCACACAAAACTGATTTGCAGCTGCAATCCTAAAACTGCTGATTTGCAGCTGTAATCCCCAAACTGCTGCAGATTTGCAGTTGCAATTCCAAAACTGCTGCAGATGTGCAGCTTCAAATCCCAAAACTGCTGCTGATTTGCAGCTGCAATCCCCAGACTGCTGCTGATTTGCAGTTGCAATTCCAAAACTGCTGCAGATTTATAGTTGCAATCCCAAAACTGCTGCAGATAGGCAGCTACAATCCCAAAACTGCTGCAGATTTGCAGTTGCAATCCCACAACTGCTGCAGATTTGCAGCTGCAATCCCAAAACTCCTGCAGATTTGCAGCTGCAATCCCACAACTGCTGCAGATTTGCAGCTGCAATCCCACAAACCTGCTGATTTGCAGTTGCAATCCCCAAACTGCTGCAGATTTACGTTTGTGCTCACGAGGCGGCCGCAAACTCACGTTTGCGAGGACAAAACCGCTGCGGACCCGCAGCTGCGATCCCAAAAGT